CTAGAAACTAAGGTGCATCTGATCCAGGCCATGGTCTTTGATACTGGAGAAGAGTATTGAACATACCATGGACTGCCAAGGGAACTAACAGGTCTGTCCTGGAGAGGGTGAGGCCAAGGTTTCCTTGGAAGAAAGGATTTTGAGTCTCCACCTCACATACTTTGGGCATGTTAACAGAAAGGACCAGTCCTTGGAGAAGGAGATCATGCTTGGAAAGGTGGGAAGGACAAGGTAGGAGAGAAAGACACCAGATGAGATGGATTGACACAGTAACTGGAGTAATGAGGGCAGATGTGTCAGAGATGGTGAGAATGGCCCAAGATAGAGCAGGGTTCAGACCAATTATGCAGAGGTTCACTGAGTCATGGTTCACCCCACAGCACATAACAATAGAATACCAGGGAGCTCTGGTGGCTTCATGGTAAGTTACACGTCCAACCCAAACACAGTTCAAACCCAGCAGCTACTTTCATGAGAGAATGATGAGCAGTCTCCTCCGGTAAGACTAACTGCCACTGAAAACCTGCTGGAGGGTCAACTAGGAGTTAGTTATTTTTCCTATAGACATGATTGTATTTCCCAACTATTGAACCTTCTTAGTTTCCAACATTCATCAGTTATTAACAGAGCATCTTGATTGCATGTTTGAGCACTTTCAGACTACAAAAATTGCTTAAAGTCTTAACATTTTCAACTTTAGCATTAGTAGCTGATGTGTAAATGTGAATCATACTAACTGGTTTTCCTTGTATCGTAAATTTTCACAAGATAATGACTTACTACAACACCTTGAGGCTCACTAGATTGAAGACAGAGAAACTAAGTGAATCCGTGGGAAGGGACAGAGGAAATTCAATGTCAGAACAAGGTCAAGTGTCAATTGATCAGTTTAAGTCTAAGGTGCACCTAATTTGGGCCATGATCTTTTCAATCATTTCCTAGGTATCTGAGAGCTGAACAGTGAATAAGGATGACAGAAGAAAAATTGATGCCTTTGAGTTGTGGTGTTGGAGAAGAGTACTGAAGATCCCATGGACTTCCAAAGGAGCAAATGGATATGTCTTGAAGAGGGTGCAGCCAGATTGCTCCTTGGAGGCAAAGATAAAAAGCACCATCTCATGTATTTTGGCCATGTTGCTAGGAAGGCTATTCCTTGGAAAGGTCCATCATGCTTGGAAAGGTGGAGGGTCAGAAAAAGAGAGGAAGACCATCAACTAGATGGAGTGGTTTGAATCTACCAGCTAACTGCTTTGAGGAGGAAATTCCAGCTAACTGCTTTGAGGAGGAAATTTGTTGTTGTTGTTATTGTTATTAGGTGCTGTAGAGTCAAATATGACTCAGAACAACCCAGTGAACAACAGATCTTAACCCTGTCCCATCTTCATCAGCTCTTACACACTTGAGTTCATTGCCGCAGTCACTGTGTTGATAGATTTCACTGAGGGACTTTCCTCTCTTTTACTGACTCTCCACCTTCCCAAGCATAATATCTTTTTCTAATAGCCTCTCTTAGCAATACGCCCAGACTATTTGAAATGATACCTGCATGGAACACTCAAATTGCATTTTTTCAAAACTTATTTGTATATTTGGGCAGTCCAGGGGATATTCAGTACCCTTATCCAATTATACATTCAAAGGCATCAATTTTTTTTTTCTGTCACCTTTACACACTGTCCAGCTCTCAGAGGCATAGAAAATAATTGGCAATACTATGGCTTGAATCAGGGTTACCTTAGTCTTCAATCAAATATCATTGCTCCTCAATCTTTTGGAGAAGTTCCTCCCTGCAAGACTTGCCCAATGCAATATGTCTCCTGACTTGGTACCAACTATGAGGATTGTGGATCTGAGTAAGATGAATTCATTCACAATTACAGTATCTTCTCCATTTTTCATGATGTTTAATATGAGGAATTTTATCTTCTTGCTGATTAGATGCAATCCATATTGAAGGTTTTGATAGTTTGCAGCAAGTGTTTCAGGTCATCTTCTAGCAAGCAAGCTTGTGTCATCTGCATAACACAGGTTGTTGATGCATCTTCCTCCTGTCCTGAGGTCACATTCTTCTTCATAAAGTTTAGCTTCTCAGATGCTCCACATACAGATTGAATAAGTATGGGGAAAGAATACAACCCTGAAGTACACCTTTGCTGATTTTACACCATACAATGTTCTTTTACTCTGGACAACAGCAGTTTACAGCCTCTGAAAACCTACTGGATGGCCAACTTTGAGTCAGTTCTAACTCCATACCAGTACATTGTCTTGTTTATTAAATCTTTATGGAAGGTGGTTTTTCTCTTGTGTAAATGTGGCTAGTATATTTTAATCTCTCAGTTCATAGCTGAGTGCTATAACCATTGTGCCATGAGCAATCCTTGGAAACTGTTGTTTACTGGAATGAATAAATGAGACAGAGAAATGAGGCGGGAACAGAGAATGAAGGCAGGGGGCATACAGCTCCAACACTGCAGACCCAGGCTTAGAGTCCCTATTGCCTTTATAAGTCGCGGAGAAAATTCTTTACTAATGAAGCTATGTTTTTCTCTTCAGAGCAAGGAAACACTGCATGGTTCAAAATTGGGAAGGGTGCACACCAGGGATGTGTCCTATCTCCATACTTTTTCAGCTTATATGCAGAACAAATTATCTGGGAAGCTGGGCTTTGTAAGGAGAAGTGTGGCATCAGGATTGGTGGAAGATCCATCAACAGTCTGCATTATGCAGATGACACAACCCTGCTTGCTGAAACAGGAGGATCTGAAGCGCTTGCTGCAGAGGGTCAAGGACTGCAGCCTCCAATATGGACTGAGGCTCAGTATCAAGAAGACAAAGTTCTCACCACTGGACCAATTAGCAGCATCATTATGCATGGTGAAGAGATTGAGATTGTTCACAGCTGCAGTTTGGTTGGCTCCACAAGTCAACACTCTTGGCACCAGTAGCCAGGAAATTAAAAGATGTATTGTGATGGGAAAGTCTGCTGTTAGGGACCTCTCCAAAGTACTGAAGAGCAATCGTGTAACTCTGGAGACTAAGGTATGTCTGATACAGGCCATGGTCTTTGCAATCAGTTGTTATACATCAGAGAGCTAGACAATGACTAGGGAGGATAGAAAAAGAATTGATGCCTTTGAGCTGTGGTACTGGAGAAGAGTATTGAATGTTCCCTGGACTGCTAAGAAAACAAACAGGTACATCCTGAAGAGGGTTAAACCAGGCTGCTTCGAGGCAAGGATTCTGAGGCTTCGTATGACATACTTTGGACATGTTGCATGGAGGGACAGGTCCTTGGAGAGGGACATCCTGCTTGGGAGGGTGGAGGGACAGTGTAGGAGGGGAAGACCCTCTATAGGTGGATTGATTCAGTGACTAGGGTATTCGGGATGGGTGTGTCAGAGATAGTGAGGTTGGCACAGGACTGAGCAGGGTTTAGGGCTGTTGTACTTAGGGTCGCTATGAATCGCAAGCAATTCGGCGGCACATAACAACAACATTCTTTTGGTATCTCAGGAAGGATGAAAACACAAGGACAAAGTGGAAGGGGCAAGTGACCCCTGGTTTGCCCAGAGTGCCTATCTCCTGTGATTGTCTCAGGAGAAACACTATCTTGTTCACTGTAATCTGTCACAAGAGGAATTCCAGCTTGTTTTGTGCGACTAAGCATTTGGTTTAACATTAGGTTTAACACTTGGCTTTCCACGGGAAACCTCATGAAACAGTTCTTCTCTGTCCTGTTAAAGTCAACATGAAGTCCCTAAATGTTGGAATCCAGTGGCTGGCAAAGTTAAAGACAGACACTATTTGCATCATTATTCCCCAAACCTGTTACCCAGTATGGTTAATTGGGGTCAAACCCTATTTGGCCCGGAGTCCAAACCCATGGTGGTTGTTGTTGTTGTTGTTGTTAAGTGCCATTGAGTCGCAGGCGACTTATAGTGACTCTGTGAATGAAAGTCCTGGACACCTCCTGTATCTCTTTTGTCCTGTCTCCAGGTTCATAGGGTCTCCAGAAGCAAGCTATTATGGAAGTGGATGCCACTCCTGCTTCCAAACTTGTTTTAATCTGGGAGCTCCACCAAACACTGTCCACCATGGGTAACCATTCTCGCATTTGACTCATCATTGTCACAGTGTTCAGCTTCACAGCAACCACGAGTTACCTCTGTACAGCAAGTGGATATACCAGGGTTACACAATATCTATATATCAACAATAACCTTAGTGTGTTTTCCCTGACTGTAAATCAATAATATATATCGATCTGACTTACCTTTTAATTTTGGGGATGAGTTGAAGCTCACATTTATAAACACTAAAATTGGTTGTGAAGTTAATTCTAACTTAAGGTGACTCCATTTATAGCAGAGTAGAAATGTGTTTGCTAAGACTTCTAATGGTTGAGGTTTTGGAAATAGATCATTAGGACCTTTCTTTTGAGGTGCTTCTGAGTGAAATGGAACCTTTTAATCTTTCATGAATAATTAAGCACATTAACAATTTGCACCAGCCAGGGTCTTTAAAATGCACAAGGGCTATAAAATAGTAGAGCTTGAGGTCCTGAAGGGACCAACTTCTAAATAACTTCAACCATACTGCACCAGTTTGAATGAGCTGAGCTAAATCCATAGGCCAGAAACTTAAGTAGGTCTAACAGAGGAGGCAGGACACAGTGATAATTTTATGCACATTGTTTATGTTTAACAAACCACTTTACAGCCATTATTTATTTTGATTCTTGCAACAATTTTCTTTAGAGAAGAAATCCTTATCCTTTTCTCATCTGGATGTAAAGACACCAGATTTATAATGTAAAGGATCTGCCTATGGCCTTTATCAGAGGAGATAGCAGTGTTGGGATTTAGATTCAGTTCCTTTCAGTCCCGGGTTTCCTCAAAGGCACTTTTGTCTGTTCCCTCTTCTGAGCAGGCAGGCACTGTTGTCTTCAGGACACATTCCACAATTCTTTCCCACACCCCCCAACCCCCCCAGATGTATCACACCCGAGGAACAGCGCAGATGCAGTAACTGACAGGGGAGATGGTGAGGCCTACTCTGAACTTCAGACTCAGTTTCTCATTGGCTGGGGGCCTAAAGGTAAATTTTTGCAAAAAGGAAGTGAAGAAAATAAACAGCTCAGCCCTGGCCAGCTGCTCTCCAAGGCAAACCCGTTTTCCTGAAAGGGAAAAAAAACACAAGATTGAATTCTCTTTGCTGCTCAGATGTGCCCAGCTAAGTTTGAGGAGATAGTGCCTGGCAGGGATGGAAATTGTCTACCCCATCCTATCAAAGGTAAACAAGGGTGGGATTTACAGGGACCCTGGCTTTGTTTAAGTCTGTCCACAGCCTGAGTTACCTAAGCCACCGCTCTTGATGATCTCTCACTCCTGACACAAGAGGACTTGGAGCAGAACAATAGATATCCAATTCTACTACTTTCACTTTCTAGATATGTTCCTCTCCCTTTCTTATTGCTGTTGAGTCAGATCTAACTCCTACCTAACAATACGTTGGGTTTTCTGAGGCTGTAAATTACATGCAAGGAGATTTCCCCTCTTTTTCTTTCACAGAGCAGCTGGTGGATTGGAACCACCTACCTTTGAGTTGGCAGTGCAATTCCTCCCCCCTATGCCACCAACGCTCCCTTTGAACCACGTGAGTTGTTGTGTTATTGTTACATATCAAGAAGTTAGAATCAACCTGTAGCTGACCCTCCAGCGAGTTTTTAGAGGCAGTAAATTACATGGAAGGGGATTGCCCATTTTTATATCTCACAGAGCTGTGGGTGGACTTGACATGTGTACCTTTGGGTTGGCAGTGCAATTCCTTACCACTAAGCTGACAGGTTGGAAAACAAACAGATTCATCCTAGGGAGGGTTAAATCAGGCTGCTCCTTCAAGGCAAGGGTTCTATGGCTTCATCTGACATATTTTGGTCATGTTGTAAGGAGAGACTGGTACTTGGAGAAGGACATCATGCTTGGGAGGGTGGAGGGCAGGCGCAGGAGGGGAAGGCCCTCTGGGAGGTGGATTGATTCGGTGACTGGGGCAATTGGGATGAGTGTGTCAGAGACAGTGAGATTGGCACAGGACAGAATAGAGTTTAGGGCTGTTTTACATAGGGTCACTATGAGTCTACGGCACATAACAACAACAAGCTGACAGAGTTCCTTAACTAAATGGAGGCACATTAAGTAATCTAGGTATTTGTGAAAATGTTTATGTGTGTGCAAGAGAAAGAGAGAAAGGAATGGGAGAGGAGAGAAGAGGGAAGGAGGAAATAGAAGAAGAGAGAAAAGGGGGGAGAGAAAACATTTATATGATGAGAAAGTTTGTGTGCACATTGATTGTACAGATTTAATATAAATGCACACAGGACAGATACTCTGAAGAAGAAATTCAAGCATCGAGTTGCAATACGTAAGGATACTTTGGGCAGAATATTAAATGATCCTGGAAATATTAAAAGAAGATGGAAAGAGTATACAGAGTCATTATACCAAAAGGAATTGGCAGACACAGAAGAACTTCATGAAACAATATATGAGCAAGAGCCTGTGAAGTAAGAAGTTCAAACTGTTTTGAAAGAATTGGCTAAAAATAAGGCTCCAGGAATTGATGGTATACCAATTGACATATTTCAACTAACAGATGCTGCCCTAGATGTGCTCACCAAGTTGTGCCAAGAAATCTGGAGGACAACCACTTGGCCAACTGACTGGAAGAGATCTATATTTATTTCCATCCCAAAGGTGATCCAACAGAGTGTGGAAATTATTGAACAATATCATTAATAGCACATGCAAGCAAGATCACATGCTGAAGATCATCCAAAAATGACTGGAACAGTACATCAACAGAGAACTGTTAGAAATGTAGGTTGGATTTAGAAGAGGTGTGGTACTTGGGATTTTGTAGCTAATGTAAGATGGATCTTGGGTGAAAGTAGGGAGTACCAGAGGAATATCTATCTGTGTTTCATTGATTATGCAAAGATGTTTGACTATGTGGACCACAACAAACTGTGGCTGACTCTGAGAAGAATGGGAATCCCAGAACACTTGATCATACTTGGACCCAGAGGCAGCTGTCCCAACAGAGCAAGGAAACACTGTATGGTACAAAATTGGGAAGGGTGTATGCTAGGGATGTTTCCTATCTCCATACCTTTTCAATCTTTGTGCAGAACAGATTATCCGGGAGGCTGGGCTGTATGAGGAGAAATGCCACATCAGGATTGGAGGAAGACTCATCAACAATCTGTGTTATGCAGATGACACAACCCTGCTTGCTGAAACTGAGGAGGAGCCGAAGAGCTTGCTGCAGAAGGTCAGGGACTGAAGCTTTCAGTGTGGACTGAGTCTCGATATTAAGAAAACAAAGATTCTCACCACTGGGCTGATTCGCAGCATCAGGATGGATGGTGAAGAAATTGAGATTGTTCACAGCTTTAGTTTGCTTGGCTCCACAATCAATACTCTTGGCATCAGCAGCCAGGAAATTAAAAGACGTATTGCAATGGGAAAACCTGTGGTTAGAGTCCTCTCTAAAGTATTGAAGAGCAACGATGTCAGTCTGGAGACTAAGGTGTGACTGATCCAGGCCATGGTCTTTGCAATTACTTGCTATGCATCAGAGAGCTAAACAATGACTAGGGATTGTAGAAGGAGAGTTGATGCCTTTGAGTTGTGGTACTGGAGAAGAGTGTTGAATATACCGTGGGCAGCTAAGAGCATGAAAAGGTTTGTCCTGGAGAGGGTGAGGCTGGAATGCTCCTTGGAGTCAAGGATTCTGAAGCTTCGTCTGACATACTTTGGACATGTTGCAAGGAGGGACCAGTCCATGGAGAGGGATGTCATGCTTGGGAGGGTGGAGGGACAGCGATGGAGAGGAAGACCCTTGATGAGATGGATTAATTCAGTGACTGGGATAATAAGGGTAGGTGTGTCAGTGACAATAGGATTGGTAATAGTACAGGGTTTAGGGCTGTTGTACATGGGGTCGCTATGAATCACAGGCAACTTAATGGCACATAACAACAACAATACCACAAAATAAGTATGCTTAAATATCACTCAAGTAATAATAAACATCCTTAATAAAAATTAGCTTTTATTGAAGTTATCTGAAAATGGTATGATAGGGAGTTTACCCTTTTAATTATATATTCAAAAGTATATTTCACAAAATAGAAGGATACAATTTAAAAGAACAGTTTTAATCATTTTTTTGTGACTCTGGGACATACATTGTCCCTTATCATTTTCAGCCTCTCAGGTTTCTTGGGAAGTTGCTGTCATTGTTGTAGTTCATACTACTCCCTGGGAAGCTTATATAACAGAGTGAGTTTGAAGAGATGGTCCTCATTCCACTAATCCTATTGCTCAAGTCTCTTGGGATGCATGTATCCCACATAATTGCATAAAAAATTCCCTTTCTCTGAATCCCCCGCCCCTTGTTTGCAGCATGCTTTCTATTACTAAAACAGAAATTAAAGGCATTCAGTAGTTTGGTAATGAAAGGGTTAAATATTTGTTCTAATATGGATTCATTCAGAATAATTTTATTCAAAGGGTTTCTAATATGTAACTTTCCATATTTTTTATTTATACTAGTTTATTTCAGTATTTATTTTGATGTTCATGATATATTCCAGATTTGGTCCTGGAATGCCTTTTTAAGCCAATTATTTCCTTACTTTCTCCCACAATATTCAAATAACATATTCTTTTCCTTAGTTCTGAAATCTGTCATTTTCCAGAAATCTTAGTTACTTTTAGTAGATAACTAGAATCCAATATCTGGGCTTTTATATAAACACCCACATGTGACTACCTAGCTATGTATCAATTGATTGATCAATCTATTACTTTAACCACCCACGACCATCATCACCTATCTATTTAAATGTGGTGGACAGTGTTTGGTGGAGCTCCCTGATTAAACAAGCTTGGAAGCAGGACTGGCATCCACTTCCAAAATAGCTTGCTTCCGGAAACCCTATGAACTTGGAGAAATGAAAAAAATTATACAAGTGTTTCGATCTTTTGTTCATAGGGTCGCTATGAGTTGTCTACGGCTCGACGGCACTTAACAACAACAATAACAACAACAACAAGATAGAGCTCAGTGGGTATAATGGACAGAAAGTAATGCTACCAAACCAAAAATAGATTTTAGTCTGCAGCCCTCAGGCCTGGTTTTAACTGTTTTTGGTCAATCATTCTTCTAATTGGTATAGAACTAGTGTGTCCACTTGCTGTACAGCGGTAACTTGTGGTTGCTGTGATGCTGAACACTGTGACACTGACGTGTCAAATGCGATAATGGTTACCTGTGGTGGACAGTGTTTGGTGGAGCTTCCTGACTAAAACAAACTTGGAAGCAGGAGTGGCATCCACTTCCGAAATAGCTTGCCTCCAGAAACCCTATGAACTTGGAGAAAAGGCTAAAGTTATACAAGTGTTCGGGTCTTTCCTTCATAGTGTCTCTATGAGTAATTTACGACTCAATAGCACTTAACATTTAAAATCTGAGTCACATCAATAACCTCTGATTTCAATGCAACATAATAGTGTGTTCTATGTTATCCTTTCCCATATGTGTATCCTCTTCTTATTATTCATAATATATGCTCTAGTTGGGGCAGTCTCTCCTGTACATAATTAATCTCCCACCACTACCTAGCGAGCCTGTGTGAACCCCTCCTCGTCTCACTTTGGCTTTCCCATCTGCTCTAAGCGTCTGCCACTCCTTTCCTTGTGGGAAATCCCTCCTCACTCACTCGTGATACAACAGCCTATGCCAGTCTCCATCACCACTTCTCTCTCATGTGTGCTTACTAAGTATACATATTAACAGTAAAAAGAAAGTGTGAAAAAGGAAAGTATGCAAAAGAAATATGTAAAAGGTATTTGTAATTCCATAACCCAGAGAAAACCTTGGTTAATTTTGACATGTTTCCTCAGACTTCTTAGAATCCTGCCTGCACCGCATACTTACAAAACTAGTTTTAAGCTCAGTAGTTAATTCTGTAAGGAGCACAGTAGTTAGATGCTCAGCTGCTAACTAAAAGGCCATCAGTTCAAACTCAACAGTGGATTGTTGTGGGGTGGGGGTGGGGAGATGTAGCTGTATGTTTTGTAACAATTACGGCCTTGGGAACCTATGGGCAGC